CTCCAATTTGCAATCCAAAATTCAGTAAGTGGGGGCAATTGGGAGATTCACTTCAAAAACACCCTTCTGATCTGAACCAAAGCATGAATGTAGATGTGATGATTGGCTTGGTGATTCATTTTAGCATTTCCAAATGTCAGGCTGTGTACATTTGTATTATTATGAGCCCGTAGTTTGGAATCTAGCAACAAAAAACATTTGCAGAGATCATAACGAAAAGTACATTTACGATTACATACATCAGCATAGAATTCACACTATTTTTTTAAAGTGTAGAGAAGTGAAATATCATTCTTATTTCTTCTTTCCCACCCTCAGAAGGGTAGATTGCTATCCATAAAACTGTAAAACAAATTCTCCTCCATTTCAGAACTTAGCTGTTTCTTGCAGTTCAAGGCATTTTCTGTATAAGAGTGTGGGAGTGACTCATATCTACTTGGAATCCTTAAAGTTTTTTTTATCTACGCCAAGAGGAATTAATTCACTTAGTTATTAAAGGACATAGTAATCAATGGTAAAGTAGGGCTAGGATAAGACAGCCTGAAATGGCCCAGAAAATAAGAAAGATTTTAACTGATAAATTTACAGGGGCAATTTACCTCAAGTACCTCCACATTGGGAAATTTTTGACTGAGACTGAGTAATTTTCCGAACTATATCCTCTGGTTCAAGGAGAAAATCATTCACATATGTTGCTAATTCTACTACATGTTACAACTGAAAGCAAGCTAATTCAATCCTGATATTTAAAGAGATTCTTTTTCTCCTTTATGATAAAAAGGAGAAAATCCTTTTTATCCCTTTCATCATGCTTCTTCTTCCCCGGTGCTTAATTCTATTTATTGTATAAACAAAGAGATTAACTATAGAAGGAGAAAGCAAGACAGAAATCTTATTAGTTTCTTTTCTTGTGATTGAAACACCGCTAAACACAGTTCCAGAGGAAAAGATTTTTATCTATTGAGTGTCCAATCCTTGACTTAGCACTAAATGAAAGACTGCACACTAGTGCTTCTGTCAGAATTGTCACCAATATTTTCATACTTGTTTGTCTTTTCTTTCACTTTGCAGATCTCAGCTAAAAAATCTTCCATATTGCCTAAATTTGTGTCCATATGGTTGGTCTTCTTTCTGCCATCCTATCCATCTTCTCACTGATCAGTGCCTAAGGAACTACAGGACTTTAGGAAGGAATTGCTCCATATCTTGCTGAATAAAATCTTCTGAGCCCAAACAGACCCTCATAAAAATCAATAGAAAAACTCAACTGTGAAAGTGAAAGAAGGAGGCTGGCAGAATGTGCTATATAGAGAGATTGCCACATAATGGATGGTTAAAACTGAAAAAAAAAACATTGCACTGTATGTACAGAATCAAGAAACACAATTGTGTTTGGGTGCTTTGCTTATTTTTAAGAATAAGATTTCAACTGGCAGCCAATAAAGAGCTAATAAAAGATGAAGCTGTCACTTTTTGTAATAAAATAAGGTGATGTTCATATTCTAAGGAAAATACAAAACTTAACTTCAAACTTGAAAAAAAACAACACCCAACATCTTAAAACCAATTAAAAATCAATTGGAGTTTTACCAAACAAAATCCAGAGAATTCCAAAAAATATTAAGATGTCATTTGAGAAAGTATGCTTATTCTTTCCCACTTAAAAATTATAAATCTTTAAACAGGTCACCCTTTATTAAATGTGAATACATTTATTCCTTTATTATTATTATTATTATTTATTATTATTATTATTAGTTTACTGCTCAATAGAAATGTAGGACATTGTTACTGGCTCATTAAAGGCTGAAAAAAGAGTCCACACTAATTATATGAATATTTACCTACACAAAATCAGTGCAGTGAAAAATGTATGCTGGTTGATGAGCTGCCACTTTTTCAGGAAGAGTATTTATCAAAGCTGATACAAACAGATTCTGTGGCAAAATGAAACATAAAGCCCTCCAGAATGTGCTGGTGAAGACTATACTGGTTGTACGAAGTTCAAAATTTTGTACTCTCTGTAAGAAAGAGCTCTGTATAATTGGAAAGTGGTTCTGCTCAGTCTCTAAATTGCAAACCCTGTGTGAAGGGGAGTTGGGATAAACAGCCCCTTTAATGGCCCCTTCCTACTCAAACTATTCTATGATTCTATAAATACATTTGAACAAGCTTTTTCACATCCAGTTATGTAGGTCCTGACATGTTCCCAGGACGCATCTTTAGTAGAACAGGTAATGGTCACTGTGGCCATTCCTCAGCTTTTCTGTAGATGTCTTACTCTGTCGTGACAATTGCTGATTACATTTTGGTATAATTTAGGCATACCTGCAATGTAGCAGTCACTATGTGTCAATACTATTGCAGTGGTAACCTTCAAATAAAGAGTGCCAACCAAAAGATTTCTGAGATATTTGAAGATATAAGCCCCCAACTCAGAAAAGAAAAAAACCCTAAGGCTTGCTGTTGTACAGTGTGACACAGCACATTTCCTCAGAAGAGCAAAATCAGCTGTTTTGTGCCTACATGTTCTATAACCTTCTTTTAAATAACTATAACTTGAAACTTAGCCATATGGATGGCTGCATCACCCTGCCAAAAAAACATCTGACTGCCTATAAACACTTCTCTGACTGTTCTCAGCATTATCCTTTTTCAGTTATTCTACTGTTGCTTGACTAAGGCACACTGCACATCTGTAGTACACAGAAGTTTATCCTATGGATAAATCAGAGGACTTTCAATTACGGAACAAATGAAGTTCTTTAACTTGAGGTGGGAGAGAATAGGGAAGGTCATAGAAAGCGCTGAGAGGGCTGAAAAGCAGAGCAGGACAGTTTATTAAGATTAACAGCTGCAGGCTTGATGTCGCTAATGGCAAGATAGATTGCACAAAACACAGGTGAATCTTTTCACAGTCTTCTTTTTGCTACACTCCTTATTGTAGAGTGCTTTCTGCAGAATCCTGTGGCTTGTGCCCTTCTCACCCCACATCACTCGCGAAGGCACAAGGCCAGGCTGAAGGTGTAATGGCTGATGGCCACATTAGCAAATAATTCTGCCAGCCAGGATCCCCTCTGCTCCACCGCCAGGTGCATGCTGCTGCACTGACTGCCTGCAATCATAAGGACCAATGGAAAATATTTCCTTGATTTCAGAGTACAGAGCAGACAATCCACAGTGTGAATAAAAATGATGTTCTTTGTTATAGTATGGCGACTTAATGGGAAAACAACAACAAAAAAAACCTGAGGGTTTCATATGGTTCCCCTCCTCAATTCAGTGCTGTCCCAAAGGTGGCAAATAATCCCTCTGCTCGTTAAAAATCTGCCCTAACACAGTGGTCCCGCAGCTGGTACTCTCCCCTCCCCCAGGCAGCAGCATTTCCGCTCCGCGGGCGCGCATCGCCCCTCCGCGCCCGGCCGCGGGCACACACCGTGCCATCTGCTTGCTGCGCGCAGGTGCGGATCCCGGGTCGGATTTTAGCTTCTCTCTCTTTGCAGCCCCTTCCCTGGCAGCTCCCCGCCCCCAGACGCACTTTTCCCGTAGAGCGCAGAGCATCAGGTGCGGGTGTGGAGCAGCGGCCGCCCGCTTCCCCCGCACCCCAATGGCACAGATCCTCCTTCCCCTCACTCCCTCGTGCTATGTGCCCCCTCCATCCGCCGCCCTCTCCTGCAGGCGTCTGCTCTGTCCGCCCTGCTTTTTCTCGCTGAAATCCTTTCCCCTCGTCTCAGTACTCTCAGTGTATTTGCCCCACTCTTCTCCCTCCGCAGCCAGAGGGATGAGGGCCTGGGGGGGATATAGCTGAGGAAGCGGATAAGCTTGGGAGAGGGAGGGGGGAAGCTAACGGGAGAGATTTTGCTGTCGTCTAAGGGCTGATTGGAAGAGGTAATCATTGTATCTGCGGTTGGAGGATTAGAGGAGAAACTTTTATTGCTCCCTTTTGTGAGTGCGTGCGTGCAAATGGAGAAGTCTCTTCTCCAAGGGGAGCATCCTTTCGGTTGGCATCAGGTGCAGCTCAGGGAGGGACTGAGAGCATTTCCCTCATCCGTGAGCTGAGGGACGAGGGGAAACGACCCCTCTTCTCTCACTCTTCCTTCTCCAGTTCTGAAATCGTTCCTTCTCCACCACTGCCGCCTCCCCGTTCCTCCCCTCCCCTTCCCTTCCCCTGCTCTGGATGAGTGGAATAGCCTCCAGGGTTTCCTCCTGCTCCTCGCCCCGGACCGGAGCAGTGAGGGGACATCACTAACCCTCATCCGTCTCCGTCTCGCTCCATCCGTTCCCGAGAGGACTTCAGACGGTGCCATGTGTTTTCAGCCTCTCGCCGCTGCAACCATTTGATACCACGCAACGCGCAGGGAGAGAGAGGCTTTTGCAAAATGGATTTGTTCGATTTTAAAGGATTTCTTCTCTAATAAGGATCGCATTGCACACAAATATGACTAAATCCCCTATTTGGTAAATCTTTCTTCCCCCACCCCTCCTCTTTGGGTTCCCTCCCTCCCACCCCCACCCCTTCAGAGGAGCAAGCACGGGGAGCTGATGACGGACCCATTAATCCCTTCTTCAATGCATCAAAAGAAGCCGAAGGGCTGGAAGTCGCTGGGCGCGGAGTCCTGCAGGAGATGTTTCCCTCCGCTCTGGGTTCTGTATGAAGCTGGGGACTAAGGCTCGGCTCGCCCCGCCGCCGCTCGCCGGCACCTGGAGGCGCGGGTCGCCGCCGTGCCCGCTGCCGCGATGCTCCGCTGCCGGCAGTGCTGCCGGGAGCTCGCCGTGATGGGATCGAGCCGGCCGTGATCGGTGGAAGGCGGCGAGGGAGAGAGCGAGCGGGAAGAAGGGCTGCTCCGCTCCGCTGTGTGTGGGCTCCGCGTTTTGATGTTTTTTTGTTGTTTTGGTTTGGATTTTTTGTTTGTTTGTTTTTTCTTTTTTCTTTTCCTACTTCCATCCTCTCCCTGCCACTGGAAGTCCTCCCGTATCTAAATGGAATTAGTGGAGACCGAAGCCCCTTGTGTAAGGCACAGACATGACCCATGGGCGCAGCTTCCTTCACAGTGAGTATCTCCTCCCGCCTAGCCTTACCTTCTGCTGCCCCCACAACTCGTCCTACGGGACCCCATGGCAAACTCCCCCCCTCCAAAGCACCCCCTTCGCCCCTTCCCCAGCACTCCCCTGCGGTGCGGTGGGGGGAGGTCTGTATCTCCCCCGAGCTCCCGCTCGGGCTGTCTGTTGGTTTTCACTTGGGTGCGAAAATGGCTTTCGGCGTGCTGTGGGGGAGAGGGGAAGCGGCCCCCCTGCTGCCCCACTCGTGACTAGAACCGGCGGTCCCAGGGGCGGCCATGGGGTGCGAGGATCCAGCAGCGCTTCACCCATCGTCTGTGGGCTCTGCGCCGGCTGTTCCCCCCCCCAACCCCCAGAGGGGTCCTCCCCGAGCAACGGGGGGCACAGAAATGCACCGAGACCTCGGGCTGTGTGGTAGGACCCCCTCCTCCTGACACAGTTTTGGAGAGGATCCTCACTGCTGGAGGGGTACAATTCTTTCACCACCTTGCTATACGCCCACACCTGTAAAACAGCAGTGCTACGACTGGGTATAGGTTTTCCAAAAACTCTTCACTAGGCTAAACCACATTCATGCCAAATCATAGCCTCCAAAAAGCTTCCTGGCAGAGAGATAAACCTCTTAATGTGAGGCTTGCAATGGGAAAATGCACAAATCCATAAAGATTCAAAGATGCGCAATCAGTGGAAATAGAAAGTGTGATTATAATCACACTGATGATTAGGAGAGGAAAGAGAGGGAGAAGGCAGAGAGAATGCAACAAGAAATTTGGTGGAAACTCTTTGAAATAATTCCCAAACCCAGATAATGTAAATATTGTTGGTGTACTGCTAAAGATTCCCAAGTGACAGCTTTGAATGTGTAAAGACAGTGTGATTGGTCTCTTTGGAGGGGTCTTTTTATTTTATTTTATTTCCTGTGAAAATGTTCTTTTCTGGTGGTTTGAAAAAAAAAAAAATGTAAGAGATCATAGCATAGAATGGACTATCATGACTGCTTGAGTGAAAGGTATCATGTTATCTTTCCCTGTCAACCCCCCAATTTTAATTACTTTCTGGCACCATATGTATTTTGGCAATGCTGGTGTTAATGCCACCATGTCAAGAAAATAATCTTTTTTTTTTTTTTTTTCTATATGAGAGGTATTTCATTTCAAGTGATGGATATGATATATGCAGAAAAATCTTTGCATCTCTCTTTTTTTTTTTTTTTTTTTTTTTTTTTTCCATTTTACATTCTATTGTCAAATTTATTTTGACTCTGTGATGATAAGTCAATGTAGCTCCCTGCTTTGGAATAACACAGCTCTGCAACTTGGAAGCACTCTTTCTAGCGGTTAGCTGGAATTGAAAAGACCTGTGTTTTTCTTGACTTCAGTTTTTAACATTTAGAAAAGAAGAGTTGATAGATAAAGGGACCCTTTAAGAAAAAGACATGAACTGTGATTAATAGCCTAAGAAGAAACATTTCTCACATAGGGTTTGTTTAGCTACTGTTCTGCCCATTCTAGCTTTCATAAAGAATGCTGTCTCCACATTCTAGCACCAAACCTCCTTAACTAAGGAGAAATTTGGTTTCAGCTGGTGAGAATTATACACATAGATGCAGTGTGTTCACTGCATGAAACACAACTAAGTAAATGAGCAACGCGCAAAACCTTCATTGCCTCCAGATTCTGACATAGCCGATGGTCAGAATCCCAGCAAGAATGCATTTCCAGAATCCATCCCTGAGGAGCGTAAGGGCATGAATGGTTGGGTAGCATCCAGATCTGAGCAGAAGATGCAATGTTCTCACTGAATGCCCAAGACACAGAAGAGTTTTTAACTACCAGCCCTGCCAACATCCTGTCTCTGTTAGCTGGGAGAATCAGAAAGACACAGGGACTGTGAGCCTGACCAAGAAATAGAGAACGTGCTGCCAAGACTTTATTTTCCCAGCACTTCAACCTTTCCTTGCTTAATAAGGTAGCCGACGTGCACACCTAAAACCTTCTGTCACATGGGAAGGGTCAAGGGCATAGAAATAAATCTCAAAGCTAAGCTATTTTCAGAAGGACCACTGGGGGTAAGAAGAGGAAAGCACATCATTCAGTTATGTGTTGAAGACCACCAATTCCTCCATACAGTCAACGATACAAACACAAGCTGATGTATCCAAAATACTCAGGATAAACAGACAAGTTCATCTCCACTTTAACTTTAGTCTTGCCTGGGCACTAAGTTTGGGCTTTATGCCAAACTCACTGGGGTCAAAATCTTGAGCGTTCCAGGAACTCATGTTCTTGCTATCCCACTTTCTCCTGGAAATAGCTAGAGAAGACCAGGGAGGTGGGAAAAAAATCATAGAACTATGGAATGTCTTACGTTGGAAGGGCCCTTAAAGCCACCCAGCCCCACCACGTTCCGAGGGCAGGGCTGCCCCCACCAGCTCAGCTGCCCAGGGCCCCATCCAATCTGGCCTTGAGCACCTCCAGGGATGGGGCACCACAACTTCTCTGGGCAGCTGTGCCAATGCCGCAACCATCATCATTCCGTGATTTCTTCATCAGAGAGCTGGTTAGTTATTTTGGTCTTAATTTTATTATATATTTATTATAAGAAACCAAAGTGATTCAGTGGCACTGAAACTTAATAGGTGTTTGTCTACTTTGGTTCAATACAGCTTTTTTTTTTTTTTTTTTTTATTACTGGCCCAAGCTATGATTATATAAATAAATATTGCTAAAATGTTTTGTAATATTAAAAAAGGGAAAATAAAATAAGAGGCAAACATTAATGCTTGGAAATTGTATTTTAAGCCAAATAGTTCTCCTCTTTATTTGAATACTTTTACAAAGATAAACACTTATGTGGGCAGATTACATGCAAATGAGTTCATATGAAAAGTGAAACTTAAGGATACAAGTATACATGAAATACTGAATTTTTTACAGTAATTCTATTTAATTTGTGTTCTTTTCAGATGTTTACATTTGATTTAATTGCAGACACTATTACACTATTATATCTAATGCAAATCTCTCTTTCAGTCGTAGCAAGTCTAATCATCCTACATTTGTCTGGGGCAACCAAAAAAGGAACAGGTACGTAAATTTCAGACTTGTTTTTCAGATATTATATTACAGTCTTAAGTTTGGATGCAAGTTGTTAATGTAGGTCTGGAAATTTTTTGTAGTCCACCTACTTCCAGTGTCTGTAGCTTGTTCATTTGTTTTCAGTCTGTAAACTGCCAAAAATCCAGTGGTGATTTTTTAACAAGTTAGTGACCTTATCCATGGCTAAATTTAACTAAAGGCTCGACCTGACCTTATCTAGTGGTTGCAAAGTGCCCACTCTTTCAGACTAAGTGTTCATATTTGGTACCAAGTAATTTTGTCTCAAAATCTTTTTGATTGCTGAAATAGAATTCAAAATGTGAAATCAGGCTTCCTGGCTCCTTGTGCAGCGTAGGGATAGAAAAACAGCCTTCAAAACCCTGCATGCTAAGTGAGGTGATGGTCAAGCAGGGAGGGATGCTCAGCACAGTGTGTGTCTGAACGTATGTCTGAATGCTCACTCCCTGCAAACCTGAATTCATTTCAGAGGATCAGGATCCATTTCATTCTTAACTTGTATATGGACCATGAAGAAAGAGAAATGCATGCAGAATCTAAGGCAGATCTCAGGTGGTTAAAATCATGCTTGGAAGGTGCCTGTCTCCCTCCATTGATCTTAAGAACCTCAAACAATTCGGCCTTGAACATGAAAGTCTTGGTGGGACAAACTTGGATACAGGCACCTGGCTGGGAGCTAAGCATAGGAGGCCATTTTTGATTCCTATGAACTCTAAAAACTGGTGCATTTCCTAGAGCCTGCTGTCCCTTCAAGTCTAAATTTTTTTTCCTCCAATAAATCCATCTTATTTTGGCTTACTAGTTAAAGCACAATGTCCAGAAAGCAATTCTTCATCCTTTTCAGCCTGAAAAGATTAAAATCTTAAAGTCTTCAAGCTCTCTGCCAATGTGCAGAAAGGGAACGCAGAAGTTTCAGGGCTAGCAAATGAGGACTGACCCTGCTCTCTGATGACTCACCTTGGAGGAGGAAAGTTCTGGGCTGTGACCCTATCTCTGTCAGGTGAATCTAGGCTCACAATACTGTGAATTAAAAACAGTTCTATTAGAATTCTGGAATGGTTTTTGTTCTTTTTTTTGCTTGTTTGTTTCCTTAATTTTGTGTCTTGTTGAGAAGGCACACACTTGGATTTTTTGAACTACACAAGTGAGAAACTCATGTCTTCGATTCTCGAGCATGTAATTTAAAAGGTGATGTAAGGATGACTTCCCTCAGATATTCAAGACTCTTCTCTGCTTTGAAAAAAATATTTTGAGTGAGAATATCCATAAAGAACAGTCTAATTTTCTTCCAGGTCAATGATCATACTTAGACACAACTGGAAAAAGCTGAGACCACCATCAGATGGAACTATTTTGTTCTGTAGAGGAGTTCAAAGTGTCAAGTAGCCATCATAATTTTTAAACTAACCATATGATTTTTAATGTCATCATTTCACAGAAAAGCAGACTACTGCCGAAGGACAGAAACCAGTGCAGTGTGGAACTTGGACAAAATATGCGGAAGGAGGCATCTTCACTTCTCCCAATTATCCCAACAAGTATCCTCCTGACAGAGAGTGTGTCTACATTATAGAAGGTGAACAGTCAATGAATCTTTGTAGTCTATCAACTGTCAAAAAAGTATTTTATTTTGCTGTATGTGAAGGGTAGATAAAGCTTCTAAGTTCATGATAGCATCAGGAAGCAAGATTTAGAAAAGTTCTATCTCAGCAATTTTTTTTAATAAAAAAATTAAAAAACATTGGAAAGCATACTAGAAAATATTGGAAAATGCTAGCTTTCCTAACAGACTAATAAAATAACTTAGGTGTCAAGTATACATAAGTTACTTAGGAATAAACAGTATTATTTATTTTAGAGAATGAATAGAACCTAAAAAGCTGTAATACGATAGAAACCAGAATATTTAAAATGAATAAAAGCCATGAACACAGGAAACTAAAATGCTTTTGACTCCTCATATCAATTTTTAAACATGTCATAACTGAATCAGGGATGGCAAGAACAGATTAGGTGAAGTACAGTAAAGAAGATTATGCAGAAAACATCCATACAGTGAGTATAAAAATATTTTCTACCCAAGTAATCATAAGAAAATAAGGAGATTAACAAAATGAAACAACAACTAGGAAAAACAACACAGAAAATAGTAGATGTAAGATTCAGTTCTCAATGAGTAGATAGTTGAAGGTCTGGAGTTGATGTAAAAAAGGCTTACTACATACCTGTAATTTCTTTTCATGAATCTTAGCAAAATGGATGTGAAGGGATTCTTGTAAAAAGGAATCTGCTGAAGGTAACAAGAGATTAGATACTGTTGGAAGTTAGTAACAGAAAAGATGAATCAGGAACGGAAGTGGTAGAACTCTGAAACTAAAAAGATTAATGAGTTGTGATTACATGCAAAATACAACACTGGTGATTGCCCTATCCATGCTGAGTTGGACAGAACTATTAATTTAACGTGCTGGAATCAGGAATTGTAGAAATACTTTTTTTTTTTTTTTTAAGGATGCTGATTGTTCCAAGAGAGATTTTGAAAGCTGTATAGATCATTCTAACTAAATCAGCTGCTTTAGAATGCTCCAAAAAACACTTAGAGAAAACAGTTTGTCTTTCCAAACCTAGTGCTGAGTTACTAATAGAAACATATATCATAAAAATCTTTCAGGGAAATGATGGATGGTAAATGTTGTATAGTTTGAAAAGAAAATAAATAAATAAATAAATAAATGAGATATCTGAATTATACTTCAGTGATAAGTAAACTGACTGAAGTCAGAAGTAAAGAGACGATTATAAATAAAGGAGTCAACAAGCCCTTTGAGATAAATTTATGCTTCTACAGTCTTCCATAATTCTTCCAAAATAAGTCTGGAATTTAAGCAGATGTATGGTAAGCATCTCAGTTCTTTCATAGTTTAAAAATACTTTCACAACAGCAATGAAAATCAATAATAATAATGAGTATATAGGGTCCATATGTTCTACTTAGTATTATATTTTTGTGATATTTTTGTATCATTTATGTTGCTACATCCAGGTCTTTTTGCACACTGCAGTGAAATGATCTCAACATTGCTCTAAGGAGGGGAGGAAACATGCCTGTTTTATTTTCTAGGAATTGAGGCGCAAAGAGAAAGGTGGTGGGAAAAAAACAAACAAACAGAAAAACAACAACAATAACAACAACAAAAACCCATCAATTCTGTAAACCATAATCCAGTCTCTTAAGCCACGAGGAATTCCTTCTGTTAGTAAGAATGTGCCAGAAATATATTTATTGTAAGGACCTGTCTTTATTATTTTAACTACTTATGAAAAGATAATAAAATGAAAAGTGGTAAAATCTGCTATTAAAATAGACTGCTTTAGAATAGCTCAAATTGGAAATGTCAAAGTAGAGGAAGGAAATATTTAATCAAACATCTGTGTTCTAGATGATGAAATTATATGTTGACAATTTTGTGGTAATTTCTATGCAGTGCAGGAAATAATCTGAATTCAACAGACATCTTTATATTCTATGGGATAAATCGATTTTAGGCTTCTTGCTTCTTGTCCAACTGTACTGAGGAGTCTGGATTCCAACTGGATAATTTAAAACCTGTGATGATGTCATCTGTAATATGTAATTTAGTGGGAACCATGCATACTGCACAACACATTTGACTCTGCCTATTTTTGTCTTCCAAAATGGTCAAGAATAGAATGTTTTCAAAAAAAACACCAAAATGTAGAGATGTCTTAGAAACCATACTTTCAGTAGTATCAGTTTTGGAAAAGGGCAAAAGGAGACACACTGAAGTAGAAAAAAATAATCTTCTGTACTTAAAGTAATGTGTCTGTTCCAACTCTTTTTACAACGGATAAAGACAGCATAAAATGACAAAGAAGGCTAGCCAATGAAGATATTCGTGCATATCTTTTGTATGTTGTAATATTTTCTAATCCAAGACATAAATGTCTATAAACATCTCTCTTTACATCTCATTCCTATATTTATTATTGAGATTCAGCATGCTTGGAGTAGCTTCTGTCTGCTGTTATATTCCAAGTATCAAATGACAGGGACTGTTGATGTGATCCAGACTAGCATTCCTATACTGAGATCTCTTCTTTGCATTTCTTAGCTCATTGTGTCAGTACCATAGAGTTTTGACTACTGTGTAACCAACTATAAATACATATATGGCTGAGCAGGTTCTTTCCTGCATGCTTTCTTTCTTTTCTTCATTTTTTGCTATCAAGTACTATCAAGGGTAAATTCTAATGGCTTCCCACAAATACAATTCTGACTGACTTTAAAGGATTCAAGTGAGCACTGCAGCAGATAGTCTGTTATAATAAAATTGATTTTCATCTCATGATGCAAGTTTTCCCCCATATTTTAAGTCATCTTAAGTGTATGCAAGCCTTTTATCATTTCAGAATTATATTGGTGAAGTAAAAAGCTGGCAAAAATTGCCGTGATCATACACAGTGAGCTTTTAAAAGTGAAGAGGATTTTTGATTGTAGAGTCTATACTAGTAGTCAAAGTTGCAAACAGATCAAACAGCTAGAACTTTCTTTTTTCCTTTTCCTTCTTCCCTTTTTTTTTTTTTTTTCTCCTTTTTCTTTCTTTTCCTTCATTTTTTTTACTTCTCGTTTGGTTGTAATGACAATTAACTTTTGGAACAAGCAGAATTTTTTTGAAGTCCAGGTTGGATGCCTTTCTAAAAGAAGTGCTTTAGGTCATCCAGAAGTCATGGACTCAGTACAAAAAATTTTATGCTATAAAGCAGCTTCTGGTGAGTCCCATCTACCTTTCGATATGAATCAAGATTTTTTTCTTCTTTGTTGTTGTTGCTGTTGTTTTTTGTTCAATCCTATTGGGCATATAGAGAACATAGGAAATAGCTGAATGTACACATTAAGTTCTCCGCTGGGACTAATTTTACCCTTGTTTCACATGTTCATGACTCTTACCTGGCAAAATTCACAGCTGCTTGGAACAAATGCAGGAGCAGCATTAGACTTTGCCAGACTGCAGAAAATTGGGCACACGTACTCTAGAGGGAAACCAAATAGGAGTTTTTTAGAAGCAATCTTTTGTTGGTGTTAAAAATATGTGGGCAGTAGGACCGTCATACTTTACGTAGTATATTTTAAGAGCTGTTTTGGAAATAAATAATCTTAATACTTATATGTTTTTATCAGCTCTTCAGTTTTTACTAAATAAATGCTTATGTATAAATAGAGTTATGGACCAGAATTGCTTATGAAGAAAAGTATCGCTTCACTTATGAAGTAAATCTTACACTTTATATCCTTGTGGAAGTTCAGAGTAAGTTTTTTTGAAAATCTTCCATGTTTTTTCCTAAAGACATCAAACTCTTTACTCCTAGCTATTTACCTGTATAAAAATTACCACCTCTCAAAGTCCTTTCATATTTCAGGTTGATTTTTTATGTTCAAAAATATGCATCAAAACAAAGAAAAATTCCTCTTTCAAAGGAGATTGTGTCTTTCCCATCAACAATAGCTGTACAACCAGAAATACTAAGGATCATTCAAAACTGTTAGTACTGTAGTATCCCAGATAGATGATGTTTGATTTTTCATTTCTATGCTGTCTGGTAAATTGAAACATTTTTTGCTTAACTTCCATTGTCACTTACGGTCTCAGAGACTGATCAGAATCTAAATCCTAATTGTGTGTTTTGTTGCAAATGTTCTTCTTTAGCTGGAACCCAAATGACTTTTTTTGTAAAATCTTAGTACAGCTCTTGTAAAAGATAATTAGATTTAAAAGATGACAAATGTAAACATTAAGTAGCTTTTCTGCCATATTAAATGTCTTTGAAGAAACATAATTGGAAGTTTACTACGGAAGAACTTATGATTTGAAATTTCTGAGGTAGCTTCAACATGAAGCTTCAATATGAAATTCATTTGAACACAGCAGAAACTTTTCCTGTGACACTGTAATAGCAAAATAAGCTTCAAAGATGTTAGATGTGAATGTGATTTACCTGTGAATGAGGATCATTTCATCCCTCCTCCTTTGATTAGACAGTGGATTCCAATCCAGTATGGAATAAATGCTTTTTTTTTTTTTTTTTTTTTTTTTTTTTCCTGTCTGTTTACTTGATTTTCGTGTGTGTGTGTGTGCGTGAGTACTTATGCATACTTTGTTCTTAGTCATTATTTTAGTCACTGTATTTCCATAAGGCTTACTGTGATTATATTTGCATACACTGTTGCAGAAAGCTGTGACACAAGGTATATATTCATAGAGTACCTGCTTGCTTTAGTTTACTTATAGCAAGAAAACCTTTTACTGAACTAAGAGTAAAACTGTGAAAATATTTTTGTTTTTTTGTTTGTTTCTAAAGTGTAGATAAAGTTGGGAGTTTGAATTGTGTTTTTATCTCTTGTTATCATTTTCAGGAAGGTCTGGATCACTTTGGTAGATTATTGCAACAAAATGTTTAACCTTTTGCTCTAAGATGAAGCAGGGAAGTGCATACAAAAGTAGAGAAAAGGTAGCATGAATGCTTACTTAGTATCCCTTTCAATCCCTGCTCGGTCTTCTGTAATCACCACAGTCACTGTAATTATGGAAACAGAAAGTGTTGCATTCCTGAGAGGAGTCAGGAGAAAAGAGCCATCATCCTTTGAGCTAGTGTGCAGAGAAATTTGTGACACAGACTAAAATAAATTGGGAAGCATTCATTAGGTTTAAGACTGATTGGTGCAAATCTGCAGGAACATATAAGCTCCTTTTCATCTTCCCAGTGACCAGTACAGATCCAAACCATTTGTTGTGAATGGTCCTTGGCTGATGAAGAAAACCACATCATGCCTAAGAAGGCTTTCTTGGAATTCTGACTATCATGGGCCACAATCATTCTAGCAGGTGATTTTAATGGTTATGGAGTGAGAACTGTCAGTTGACAGCTTCTAGACTCACTCCCTGGCCTTCTTTTATTTAGCAGTGGAGAAGCAGAGCTGATGAATGGTCAGTGCTCCATTCTTAAAGCAGAGCAGCCTCTAAGCATGGGAGACCTGGTGGAAAGATAGAAACTCTTCCCTGGGCACTCCATAAGCTGATGTGATTTTCTTCGATCCTTTAGCAAGAACTGAGGTTGACTGAAAAAATCCTTGTCTTGGCTTTGTTGGAAAGTAAGCAAAAGCAGAGGAGAGTAAACTACAGCAACATTTTGATCCTAAAACTAGTTTGCCATGTGAAATCCAGATTTTTAGTACCTATTGCTAAAGTGGTTTTTTTTTGTTGTTGTTTTTTTTGTTTGGTTTGGTTTGGTTGGTTGTTTGCTTTGTCTAAAATGACCACGATAAAGTTTCTTCAAGGTTATTCTAAATAACATTTTTTTGCTCTTTAGTAAATTACTTTTGCTTCATCTTTATTCTTAAATGTGAATTAACTTTACTTTTCCGTGTTTTAATGAGATAATTGATATGAATTGTACTCAGATCTGCATTGACTACCGTATGTATGGGAACAGAATTTGTGCTTAGTGCTATACCACAGTTCCAAATAGACTTTTCTTCATCTTTGTATTAATTTTAAAAGTATTCTGATTCATATTTCCTCTCAAATAGAAGACAAGGCTGTTTTTTTTCAGATATATAAGATTCTTAGAAAGCTGTTGTGTTTTACATAACTGTTCCTAAATTGTATTTTGCTTTACGTCATAGATATCTCCTTTAATTTTACTAAAAAATTACACATTTTTCTGTGAATAGATGAGTAAAACAATGTGTTTTGTTGTTGTTGTTGTTGTTTTAAGTAATAATTTTCAAACATAGAGGGTTTTTTTTGTTTTGTTTTGTCTATGGACAATGTTAATATTCGTATGTTAAGGTGTATAAAAATTGTTTGATTCTCTTAATTTTGTATCGAGTTTGAAGGATTTTGCTTTAGAAAATAATACAATAATTTTCTTTCCATCTCCAGCTGCCCCTAGACAATGCATTGAACTACACTTTGATGAAAAATATTCCATAGAGCCTTCTTGGGAATGTAAATTTGACCACATTGAAGTACGAGATGGACCTTTTGGCTTTTCTCCAATCATTGGACGTTTCTGTGGACAGCAAAATCCACCTATGATAAAATCCAGTGGCAGATTTCTGTGGATTAAATTTTTTGCTGATGGTGAGCTGGAATCTATGGGGTTTTCTGCTCGATATAATTTTACACCTGGTAAGTATAAAACATCACAATTATTGATAGAGAACTTTGCTTTTAACTTTGCTTACGATGTATAATGTATAGTGGCATGTTATTTAATATCTTTAATGAGGTCTATCTTCAATATCAAAGAAAATATTAATAGATAGGAAATAATAGAAGATACATATATTTCACGTAATAAGTAGGGCTTATTCAAGCAAGAACTTTTCAGTACAGTTCTATCCAATATACATATACTCTGGCTCTGCAGTTTTATAAGAATTGTTTTCAACAAAATTCTATTACAGTAAATCATTCAAAATATTTCATGGGAAATGCTGTGCTTTATGCCTGACTGTTACACCATACAGCTTATCCTTCAAAATTATTATTGATAAAGTATTCTAATAAAAAAAACTAACTACCTCAGGGAATTCCGTCTTTGCATTTCCACTTCGCCAATTATTTCACCAGTTGAGGAGTGGACTAGTTCTCCCTTTTCAATAAATTCATATGTTTTGCCAGAGAAGTGTGAAATACTAAATTGTATTAAGTAAATCTTAATTGTAATTATACAGCTATTCACTTGTCACTTTTAAAACTTAATTCATCAAAGTAAAATAAAATTCATGGTCATGCTTTCCAACTGTTTTTTCTCCCACTTATCAACAAAAGATTGCTGCCTTTAAATTTCATTTTTGGCTGAAGCTACAGTATATTGCACTGAACTGCTGGATTTGACGTGCTTCTGTACCTTCTTATGTACTGAGTGATGAGTCATACCTTAATATAGCTTGCTCTAAAGCACTACAATTATAATGTAATTTTATCAAGTATGTCACCACTGATTCAATTAAATTGTTGTATTAGGTGGAAAAATATTCTTTTATAGACATATATATATATATATATATATATATATATATATATATATCTGCTAAAAATAAAGAGCCTCAGATTCTGCTTGCTTTATTATTCCAGCAGCATTACAGAAAATACCAGGGCTACTTGAATGTTCTTCTATGTGGCTTTATTTCTCTAATGCAAAGAAAATAGTTATAAAATTAATCAGAGTAGTTCAATCTTCTTTAAAGTCAAAGATTCTGGTTTCCAGAGGGAAAGCGTACTTAGATAATTCAAAGAGCAACAGAACACAGAATTTCTGTAGGAAATAACCTATAAACAGGTAGATGTATATGTTGTAAATGCAAGATAATACATGAAATTGCATTATATCCTTACACACTTGTCTCTGAAAAGTGAGTTAAATTAGTATGTTTCAGTTGCCATAGCTCTCTGGACTTTTGCCATTTTCCTCTCCATCTTCCCCAAAAGTTCTTTGCTTCAGATTTCATTTCCTTCTTTTTCAAAGGGATTTGTGATATGGTTGAAAATATGTCCATAACATGACTTGCAGTTTAGTTTGTCTAAAAAAATTCTCAGATGATTATTTCATGGACAGTGTTTTATTCTCATTTATTTCCTTCTGATGTAAGGTGGATTTCTACATGGAGATCAATGCTGTTAAATTTCTGTAACAGCATGAATTATTCCAGACTTCAGATGGAAAAGCTGTCTTTTTTTCTTTTTTTTTTTTTTTTTCCTCTTAGCTTTTTATAGGAAGCTTTGTAAATGATAAAGCGTTTCTATGAATATTGGCCAAAATGAGAATATGGTTAGTTTTACAAGTGCAAAGCAGCACTGCTGCCTCGTTAATCCTCAGTAACAGGATCCAGATCACATTCTGGACGAACTGCTTGATCAGTTCTTTGTGGTATAAGAATGGATCAGGCCTCATATTTTGAGATGTGCTGTCCAAATTATTTGCAGTTCAAGGGTTCGCTGTCAACTCATCAACAACTGACAGCTTTCAAGAGGGTGTAAAAGAGAGGCATTGCCTCTAGAAAGTAGCATCTAAATCCATCTTTGACTATTTCTGCAATTAAACAATTTACAAAGGAAAGGTCAGAAGAAAAAAATACAGCTGACTTATTTTTAAAGAACCTCAAGAATATGACTGAAAGTAATTTGACAATTGTTGGTATCTGAAGCAGCTTAATGATAGCTGAGTGATAGTTTGTTACCTCTACCTGTATGGGTGTAAAAATTACTTGCAGCCCTGTGTAAGAGGCTTCCTTCACTCTTGAGGTAAGCACTACACAGTTGTCTTTTTTGTAGCAGCACTCTTTGATGTTTCCCCATGTGAATTGTCCCCCAAAATTCCCCAAAACTTCCTCAGTTGCCATCTTTGCTCTTGTTGTCTGATGGATGTGTTGGTTTGTTGATGAAAGAAACGTAGTGCTGAGTGTGTGGGTGTTTGTGGTGTTATGTATGATAAGATTTACAAAATAAGTAAATTTGGCTAAATTGAAGCTGTAAACATTTATTATTATTTGACTAGTACATGGAAAAGTAGAGAAAGAGATTATTTACTTTGTCTCCAGGGTGTACAGAAACAGCTCAATAGATGGAAGTTGAAAAAATATCAATAAGGGTATCTAGACAAATGTTCCAATGAAGATCTATTAGTCTGTGTAAAAGGAAAAAGCTCTGAGGCATTTTAAATCTAGTTTAGATTAAGTTCTAATAAAAAATAATTTATGTAGAAGAATCCTAAGGAATAGAGTAGTATTTTGCATTTACTAAACCTTTCCTGTTTAATTTCTTTCACTTTTTGGATTTGAAATTATTGGAGCCCTAAACTGTATACATAGGTAGAACTTCTTCTACCAAAGCAAAATGCCAGTCTAACTTCAGCAGTTTCCCAACAGGTTGGGGTTTCAGGCATCTTTAAACAAACATCATTGTCTCGTCATATACTCTATTTAAGTGAGACCATACTTTCATTCCTCAGATTACTTTTCAGCATTCTGAAAGATGAACTCTAGGAGGACAAATGACTTTTATGACAAAAATTTCCAGAAGTCTATATAAAAACAACGTAATCATATACCAAATAAGTGATAGTAAGTGTCAGGTCCTACATTTTGGACACAACAACCCCAGGCAGTCCTACAGGCTTAGGGAGGAGTGGAGGAATGCTGCCTGGTTGAAAGGGACCTTGATGTACTGATGAGCAGTCAGCTGAATATGAGACAGCAGTGTGCCCAGATGGCCAAGAAGGCCAATGGCATCCTGGCTTGTATCAGGAATGGAGTGGTGAGCAGGACTATGGAAGTCATCCTGCCTCTGTACTTGGCATCAGTGAGGCCTCAACTCGAGTACTGTGTTCAATTTTGGGCACCTCAGTACAGAAAGGACATTGAGGTGCTGGAGCAGGTCCAGAGAAGGGCAATAAGGATTGTGAAGCACTTGGAGAATATGCACCACGAGGGGAGACTGAAGGAATTGGGGCTGTTTAGTCTGAGGAAAAAGAGGCTGAGGGGAGACCTTCTTGCTCTTTTCCAGTGCCTGAAAGGTGCTTAAATGAGAGTGGGTTGATCTCTTCTCACTGGTGACAGGTGACAGGACGAGGGGAAATGGCCACAGGTTGTGCCCGGGGAGGTTTAAGTTGGATGTCAGAAAACACTTCTTTACAGAAAGGGTTGTTAAGCACTAGAATAGGTTCACCAGGGAGACGGTTGAGTCACCATCCCTGAGTGTGTTTAAAAACCCTTTGGAGTGCTGCTCAGGGACATGGTTTATCAGAGGGTTGTTAGAGTTACGGTAATATTGTTAAGTCATGGTTGGAATTGATGATCTTTAAGGTCTTTTCCAAACTGAGTGATTCTATGATTCCATAAAACTACTGACAACTGCAAAAAAGTAGGCTTCTGGTTTTGTGATTTTATAAGCTATAGGGTTAAGTATGATTAGGTTGAATGGTATAATTCTTGAATATTTTTAATGTTAAAACTCTGGGTTAAAGGAAAGAGCTTTTTATTTTGTTATATCTAAGTACCAGTAACAACCAGATGCAATTTGGATATAAAATATCAAACATGTTGTATGCTTTTATGTTTTTAAAAGTAAAAAAAAAGTTTAGTCATTCATTTTATGCTAGTTTGATTTTATATTTATTGTTAAGTAGAATTACTATCAAATAAAGATTAACTTCAATCATTTCTAAATGAAACTATATGAACCTATTAAATCTTTCTAAATATATATATAACCTTTTATTTTTACTTTCCAATCTCAGGTAAGAAAAAAAAATGACAATACAATATTTTGATTAATATTTGATATTCAAAATATTCTACAATATTTTGAAGTTGGTCTTTGGTTCATTCTGAATGCAAAACATATTGGTTAGTGAAGTACACAAAATGTCCCTTGCTCTTATTTCATTATTCTCTGGACCACTGAAACACCTATAGCTTTTAAATACATGACATTTCTGGGTCTTATTCTCCATCTCTTGTCCTCCTTTCTCCCAAAAAAGTTATGTCTCAAGAGCATTTTCCCAAATGATGTTAAATTTTTTGTCCAGTGCCCCACACGATGTTATGATGTGGAATACTGAAAACCAAAAATCACAAAACCATGACATCTAATCTTGCTGTTTCCAGCAGTACTTCAAAGGGACTTGTTCTTGACAACCACTCTTTAAAATGACTCAATTTTTCAGAGTAGACAAGGATTCACATCGAGAGTGGACATATTTATTCCATCTCTGCTACTCAGCTAAAATAATCAGATTTTTGTTTATCCTGGTCTCTGATTTTGCAGGACAGTGGCTTAAGATAGCACATCATTACTTTCAGTTCCATCACTTAGTAGAAACCATCTGTGTTTTTATTTAGTCTTGTTAATATAAAGGTCAGACAGTAATGTTTTCTGTTCAGCTGCCTGATAACAGAAAACTGAAAAAGCTTTATACTCTTATTCCCCAAAAATGGACTGTAAAACTCTGTCTATTCAGAACAATGATACTTTTACATCCACATTGCACTGGTACAAGTAGCTCTAGAAAGACAGAATACAACAATAACATCATCTATCTTGAGGAAAACAAAAAGCAAACCCAAAAAGAACAACAACAAAAAAAGTCGTCTTGATCAGGGTAGGTCTGTATTTTAGGAATGATG